TTATTCGCTTGATTCCACGGAAGTAGGCTTGATAGTTAATTTGGGAAGCCATTGATAACTCGGAAGAGACCTTTGGTATTATTATTAGGGATTGCTTTTCTTCTTGTCAATTGATTTATATATTGGGGGTAGATTTATTAGTTTATCAATCATAATCGTGGTGATGCTTGATCTTGGATGCTTTAGTTTATTGATTAATATTTCCTCTAGTTAATTGTGTTATTTAATAAATTAGTTGATTATTATCATCCATTATTGATTGGTCACGTGCTTAGTGATTAATTGAGTCTGATTAATTGAATGAACCATAGTCTCTTGGGATTCGATCCTTACTTGCCCTACTACACAGTTAGAAGGAATAGTTAGGTTATTTTTGTTAGGTACGCGATAAGCCTATCAAATTTTGGCGCCGTTGCCGGGGACTAACGGTTTCATATTGATTTTTCGTGATTCGTTTATACTAAGCGTTGTTTGTTGCTTCGGCTATTGTCTCCTGTGTTTTTGATGTTCTTTGCCTAGTTCTTTGTTGTATGCAAACACGTCACTCAGGGTCAGACGACTTAGTGCCTCTCGATTCAGAAATTGAAGCGACTGCAAGAAGACGAAGAGGTAGAAGAAGAGCAGGTAACAGAAATATGGAAGACCAAGCAACAAAGTCTCTTTTGGAGTACGGTATCCCTGACACAACAACCGGACTCCTTTCTAGCATTATTAGACCACCTATCACCGCTCAGAATTTTGAATTGAAACCGCAATTTATTCAATTCATATCCAATGATTCATTTGCTGGCACACCTCTTGATTGCCCAGTGAATCATATAGATGGTTTCTTGGAAAAGTGTGACACTATGAAGCTGAATGGTGTTACAGATGATGCTCTTAGACTTCGCCTTTTTCCATTCTCATTACGGGATAGGGCGAAGGAATGGTTAAGAGATGAGGGTTCTGGTTCCTTTGATACATGGGATAAACTAGTAAAAGCTTTTCTGGTCAAGTTCTTGGGACAAGAAAAGACTGCAAGATTAAGGAACGAGCTATCCACTTTCAGGCAATCAGATGAAGAATCCTTATATGACGCATGGAGGAGATTCAAGAGGTTACAGAGACAGTGCCCCCATCATGGCATACCTGAATGGATGTTAATCCAAACATTCTATAATGGTCTAACCCATGAGTTCCGGATCTATATCGACGCCGCATCTGGAGGCTCCCTTCTAACTAAAAATCCAACCGAAGCAAAGGAGCTGGTTGAGAAGATGTCAGCCAATGACAACTATCACCCAGGCGGCCGAAATAATGTCAAGAAAGGAGGTAAATTAGATGTTGATGCTCTAACTCTTTTAACTAGTTCTGTGCAGGCACTTTCAAGCAAGTTCGATAGACTACAAACTGGATCTTCCAATAATGTGCTAGAAACTTGTCAAATGTGTAATACTCAAGGTCACATCGCACCTAATTGCCCACGAAATTCGAATGAGGTATCAATTGAGGAAGCCAATGCCTTCTACAATTCCAACCCTAAAAGACCATACGATCCCCATTCTAATACTTATAATGAAGGTTGGAAGAATCACCCAAACTTCTCATACAAAAACACCCAAGCTCAGCAAAATCCACCTCCGCCCCCACCTCGAAACAACAATTATAATCCACCTGGTTTCCAACCAAGACCACCCCTAGTACAACAACCCATGCAACCCATGCAACCACCCCCTCAAAAATCCAATCTCGAACTAATGATGGAGAACTTCATCAACACCACAAATAATTCCATCCAACAGTTACAAGCCCAGAATAAGCTCATGGAAAATCAAATAAGCCAACTTGCTCATCAAGTCGGCCAATCTTCAAAAACACCGGGTACGTTTCCTGGCCAAACAGAGCAACCACAAAAGGGGCACATGAATGCTGTAATTTTAAGGAGTGGAAAACAGTTGGAAGGCCTTCCCGTAAGGGAACCATCAACGATAGATATTGAGGGAATGAGTGAAAAACAGGGAAATCGGCAAAGTTCTTCTTCGCCCGGTCAGACCGGGCAAGGTCCGCCCGATCGGGCGCGAGAAGCAGTCGACGAAAAACAGGGGATTTTGCAAAATTCTTCTTCGCCCGGTCAGACCGGGCAAGGTCCGCCCGATCGGGCGCGAGAAGCAGTCGACGAAAAACAGGGGAATGTGCGAATTTCTTCTTCGCCCGGTCAGACCGGGCAAAGTCCGCCCGATCGGGCGCACGAAGAAATTCCAGACAAACAAAAGAACATAAGCAGCTCTTCTTCGCCCGGTCAGACCGGGCAATCACTGCCCGACCGGGCGCGAGATCCAGACAGCCCAATTCCAAGGAATGATGTTCAAGAAAAGCCACGGGAATACATTCCAAGCGTCCCTTTTCCACAGAGGTTAGCCCAGGCTAAGTTAGAGAAAAAGTACGGTAAATTTCTAGACATCCTTAAGAAACTTCACATTAATATACCGTTCTTGGATGCAATTTCTGAAATGCCTTCTTATGCAAAGTTTTTGAAAGACATGCTATCTAACAAGAAAAAGCTTGCAGAGAATGCTACTGTTTCTCTAACTGCAGAATGTAGTGCCATTCTGCAAAACACTCTTCCTAAGAAACTAGGTGATCCAGGCAGCTATTCAATCCCAGTGAAGCTGGGAGATATAGAGATCAATAGAGCGCTATGCGATCTTGGTGCAAGTGTAAGCCTTATGCCGCTCTCCATCTGCGAAAAGCTTCAAATGGGTGAGCTAAAGCCTACAAGGATATCTCTGCAACTTGCAGACAGGTCAGTTAAATTTCCC